TGTTTGGTCCGTTGGTCAATTGGGCGGTTGGTTGGTTGATGGCTTGCCCATGAGGTTGATCTTTCGTTTGGGTGGACGGTTGATTGTTTGTTTGATGGGGCGGATGGTCTCCCAGTTGGTTGTGTGATTTGGTGGTTGGTTGTTCGCTCAATTGTTGGGGTGTTCGTCTGGTTGGTTGGTTATTTGCACGTGGCAGAAACCATGCGTACCATTCAACGCCGTTGTCACATCATGGCAAGGCAGCGGGGGCGGACTAACTACTAGTACATACGACTCGTCACATGGCAACGCAGATGAGCGAAAACGATATCACTTGACTAACCTTGTCACATGACGCCGCAGGGAGCCGTCAACATCATAGTATGCTTCCGTTTTCGCCACGTGGCATCACAAGTGGGCGGAACACATACTAGTCTATTCCACTCGTCACGTGGCAACGCAGCAAGGACATAACAACTACTAGTACACGCTACTCGCCATAAGGCAAAGCAAAGTGGGGTAGAACATATGCGATGATGTCTTGCTCGTCACATGGTACCGCAGGGGCCAACGCATAGTATTACATTCCACTCGTTACATCGCGCCGCAAGGGGGCAGCCATCATACTATTCTACATACGTCACGTGGCAGCGCAGCGGTGGCGCAAACAACAAACAACGGCGTTGTTGTCTGAATGGCATCGCAGGGGGCGGAGCACATGCAGTTCTATTCTAGTCGTTTCATGGCTCCGCAGTGGGGGCGAGGAGGGGGGGACATACAAGTATACCCTTACTCGTCACGTGTCCATTCAGTCCAGTTTTCTGTCCGTTCGTCTCTTGTATTTTTGACTTGAGGCCGACGCCTGCACACTCAGCGATCCCACGAGACTCCACAGGCGCGCCTACCTTCACGATAGCAAGTCTCGGAACAAATTTCCAGGAGTTTCACGCAGGATTCCCAGAACCGCACAAGAACCAGCGGCATGTTACAATCATACCATACGAGCTCCACTGATATAATTTGAGCACGCACGAAGCGCGCAATGGCTCTAGCATAGCAATATGAGGATCTGTTGGTATGAGTATGAGGAATCCCTGCATGCGTGAGTTTGAGAATGAGGAGTCTCAGCGTCAGGGGGTATGAGTGGTCAGAGTATGGGTGAGTCTGAGTGTGATGTTGTCTGGACATGCGGGAGTCTGAGTATGAATGGCCTGAGTATGAATGGAGATGTGTGAGAGTGAGTCTTAATATGAGTAAGTATGAGTGATAAGAATGAGTCTCAGTGTGAGTGGCCTCATAGTAAGTGGGTTTGAGTGTTAGCGAGTCTACATATGGGTCTGCGCGTGAGTATGGGAGGGCGGAGGGAGAGCGGGGGGACCAGGCAGGAGTGAGAATGTGAGTGAGGAAGCGGAGGCATCATACCAACGAGGCGGAGCCCATAATCATGACACGGGGGAAGACGACCCAGGACGAGAAACGGGCCCTGGAAAAGGATCGGAGCGTGCGACCCACGCCCCTCCCCTCGCGCCACGGCGCACACGGCGCGCACGGCGACCAGGCGCACGGGGATGGTGCTTAAGGGGGGAGGTGGACAGCTCATCGCAGGGGACGCTGCAAGGGAATCCGAGCTCCTCCCGTGCTCCCCGCGCTCCGCTTCGGAGGCCGCCCCCCCGCCCCGGGCCGGCCCCCGGCCGCCCGCCGAGCTGGGCGCGGCCGCGCGCGGGTCCCCCGGCGCGGGCCCGCGGGCCGCCCGGCGCCACCCGCCGCGGCTGGGGGCCACGCGGGGGGGCGGGCCGCCAGCGGAGGCGGCTCGCGGACGAGGCGGCCTCGGGAGCGCTTCCTCCTCCCCGTCCTCCTCGTCCTCCTCCTCGTCCTCCTCCTCCTCCTTCTCCTCGTCCTCGTCCTCGTCCTCGTCCTCCTCGTCGTCGTCGTCGTCCTCCTGCTCCTCCTCCGCCTCCTCCTCGTCGTCCTCCTACGACGACGACAAAGACAACAACGACGACCACGACGACGACCACGACGACGATCACGACGACGACGACCACGACGACGGCGACGACGACGACCACGACGACGACCTCGACGACGACGACGAGACGACGACGACGACGACGACGACGACGACGACGACCTCGACAACCTCGACGACGACGACGCAAGCGCCGACGATGCAGCCGACCGTGAACGACGGCGACAAGCGACGGCGAACGACGGTGACAGGCGACGGCGACGGCGGGCCCCGCGAACCCGCCGCCGGGGCGGAGGAGGTGCGTCGTCGTGGTCGCGGTTGTCGTGGTGCGCCGTCGTCGTCCCGGACATCCGGCCGAGGGCCGCCCCGGGGGGGGGCGCCCAGCGTGCCCACGGCTGGGGCGGAGGAAGCGTGCCGTCTACGTCGTGGTCGGGATCGTGGTCGTCGTGCCCCGGTCTTGGCCCGCGGCCAGGGCGGAGGAGGCGCGTCCTCCACGTCGTGGTCGTGATCGTGGGCATCGTGGTCCTGGTCGTGGTGGGTGTTCGTGGGCGTGGCCACTTGGGGGGGGACGAAGTTTCGAGCTTCGAGGTGCCTGGGCATGTTGCAGGTTCTCGACGGCCCGGACTGTCCCGAAGGGCCTCCGGAGGCCCGAGGCCTGTCTCGGAAACCGCTCGGGGACCGAGGCTCGAGGTCGTGGGCGGGACCAGTCAAGATCGGTCCCCAGACCCTCCCAGAGGCGCGTCGTCGATCGTGGTCGTCGTAGCACGCCGTGGTCGCCCCAAGTCCAATGTGCCAGCGCCTACGGAGACGGCGCGTCGTATTCGTTGTCGTCGTGGTCGTGGTCGCCGTCGTCTTGCTCTTTATCAGACCAAGTCCAAATCGATCCTTGGACCCTCCTGGACCCTCCAGACGTCCGTGCTGGCCAGTTTTTCCAGTCGCGCGGCGAGGACCTCCAGCAGCGCACAGACACCTCCAAAACGATGACGCCGTGGTTCCTCGTCGACGTCCGTCGTCGTCAGCCGTCGCCAATTTCAACGTCGTCGTCACTCCGTCGTCGCCGTCGTCGTCGTCCCCAGACCCCCGACGTCATGATTTTGCACAACGTCGACCCTCAGAGGTCTGGACCTATTCCCCAGGGCCAGTTCTTAATCCCGAGTCGTTTTTTGACAATGCCGGAGCCTGGCGAGGTCCCCCAGGGGCCGAAAGTAGCAACGACCAACAAATACGTCCGCCGTGCTTATTCCGCGACGCGAGGGGGTCCTGGTCCGTCGTCGTCCACGCCGCCCACGTCGTCCGTCGTCGTCCACGTCGTCGGCGGGATCCGTGCAGAGGCCGCACCTGGCGCGGCGGCCGTGGGCAGTGGGCCGCGGCGCGCGCTTGCCGCGCCAGGAGCGGCGGCTTGCGGAGCGCTCGCGGCCACGGTCGCACGGGGGGGGAGGGGGTCGGCTACACGTAAGAGTGACCTTTCGCCGGAGTGACCTTTGGCGCGGGCCCACAAAGGCCCCCCCGATGGCTGAATGCGATGCGATGGCAGCGATTGGCCTGGCCGGTGGTGTTCCCCAAGGGACCCCACCCCCCTTGGGCCGCGCATCAAAGGTCACTCTTGCCTAGGGTCACTTTTGCGCGTAGCCGAGGGGGGGTCGGGCGGTTGGTGGTGGGAAGGGGCTGCTTCCGAACTCTGCTGCGCGCAGCTGCTCAGGCGGCCAGCTCTGAAGTGGGGGCCTCACCCCAACGGAAGTACGGCTGGCACGAGGGCGATACAAAAACGCCCACGAAGCTCGGCGAAAGTCGGGACAGATCTGACGAACCAACAACACACACCCATACCCATAGAGGGGTCGGAGAGGGCTATGGGTGCGTGTTGTCGGATGGGGGCCCCCGCTCGAACGGGAGCGTTCCCCAGGGTCCGACAACCCGCACCCATACCCATAGCCAGTCCTCCTCCCAACGACCCCCGTATGGGTATGGGTGTGTGTTGCTCGTTCGTCAAGATCCGGCACCCTCGTGGGCTCCGTCAGGGGCAGCGTCAGGTCGGGGGAGGACGCGTCGACCCCCACTCGCGGAGTCACCGCCGGGAGGGGCCCGAGAGCCCGCCCCGCCCGGACCGTGCGGAGTCGCCACCGGGGAACTATAGTGCCGATCTGTCGGCGAGGCATCGCCGTTTCGCCAGCTCGACGCTTCCCCCCCCCCCCCCTGAGCTGGTGCCCCTGTCGTTTACCAGCCTCGAACGTATCCCTACCCCTAAGACACGCCAAAGGGCGACGACAATCTTAGGGATTCGCCCTTAGCAAATAAGGGAATCCCTAAGATTGGCATCGTGATGAGGAGGTGCCCAGCATAGGGATAGGGATATGTTCCAGGCTGGTAAGTCGTCGCCCCTTCGGGGGGAGGGCAGGGGTCGGGCGAGGGTGGACTCGTGGCTGTACCCGTCTCCGTGCAGGATCGGCGCGCTCCGTCGCCGGCGCACGGTGCGGCGTCCCGACGGAGGGCCCATCTCGGTCGGCAAGAACCCGGGCAGCAGCAGCGGCAAGACGAGCGAGGTCGGGGGCGGCGTCGGGAGGGGATGGGCTCATGGGGGGGGGAATAGGGGAACAAAAAGTCACATAAACATAAAAGCTCGGAGGTCCGCGCGGATTTCTCGGATAGGCGCTGGGCCCCCCTCCCTGGCGCGCGGAGCGCGCCAGTGGCGGCGCCGGAGGCGCCGCCGGGGGGCCCCAGCGCCGATCCGAGAAATCCGCGCTGGCCTCCGAGCTTTTATGTTTATGTGACTTTTTGTTCCCCATAGGGCATGCACTGGCCCAATCGCCCATCCATCGGCGGTAGTGGCCCGGTGGCCCACCCCCGCCCAGGAGCGTGCGGATGCGCTGTCCATCGCCGACGTGTCGGCGAGGCACCACCGATCCCATGTGGATGTTTCCCTCCCTGAGCCGATCCCCTCCGAACGTTGACCCTTACGAGAGGCATAGGCAGACTAGCACGAATAAGATCAGCAGTGTACAAGCAGCAAACATACTGCGAGCGTTGGTTGTAATGCTTCGAGGGTTTTGCTCAAGTCGCACCGTCGTGCAGTAAGCCGCCCCGTCGTGACTCCAGAACAGAGCTTCCTCAAAGAAAGGTTGTTTGAATGCCAACTGGTAAAGCAACGAGGCACACGATAATTTGCAACATCATGAGTAAGCATGATACGTCCGTCGGAACATCGGTGGATTAATGCGCACCCACTCCCCCATCCCCAACCCCTTCATCGACTGCAAGCCAGCTTACCACGCCTGCTATCCAGACAATTACACGGAGATGGCTCATCCGATTTCGCAGGGGATCTCTCGCTTATTCTGCCTTCGTTTCCACAGGCCTGCCGTGATCGTTGACCGCTCTGCAGCGCTTTTCTGGCTCGGGCCACTTGCGCTCCTCTGCCACACAGCTTGGCATGTCTGGGGGCCGGGCGCAGTAGGCCCACTTCGCTGTAAGGCGTCCACGATGAACAGCGCAGGCGCCCATGCCACCCCAGTGGTCTCGCGGCGGCTGCCGACCGTCGGCCCTGTCGGAGCCCGCGGCCAGCTGCAGGTGCCCGGGAAGGCCGCCCCTGGGCAGTTGGACCATAAGATGCCGACGATCCAGAAGACAATCGAGTCCATGGTGAGCACCGGCAGCCAGGCACAGTATTTCAAGCCCGATCAGACCATCATCATCTTCGATTGGGACGACACGTTGTGTCCATCCAGCTGGATCCGCGCCAACAAGCACCACCTGAGCTTCTTCAAGCCCGCGCCGAAGACCGAGCACTTCCAGCGGCCTCTGCGTGAGCTTCAGCGGGAGTGCGAGGCACTTCTGACAATGGCTATCAAGTTGGGCAACGTTGTCATCGTGACCAATGCTGTTCACCCGTGGGTGGAGACATCTTGCCGAAACTTTTTGCCAAGTCTTCTGCCTTTGGTCAGCTCGCTGCCTATAATCTACGCGCGTTCTGTCTATGAGACATACTGTTGCGAGCCTGCCACGCAGGTACCCCGTGGCTCCGCTGTGGATGCAGTGCGGGCAGCCGGGCAGCGTGCCATGCCCGGGATGTACAACGCTTTCGGGCAGAACAGGTTGCACGGTCACAACTCACGTTTCACCCCGCGCCAGATCGACATGGACCCACAGCGCTGGAAGGAGGTCGCGTTCGAGCAGGAGATAGCGGGCTTCTATTCACGCTACCAGCACCAGAGTTGGAAGAACGTCGTCAGTATTGGTGACTCCATATTCGAGCGCGACGCTGTGAAGCGGGTGGTGCCCAATCGCACTTCCACAAAGAAGAGGTGCCGCACCAAGACGTTGAAGTTGTTTGACGACCCGAGGATGGAGGAGCTGATTGCACAAGTAAGGGTGGTCCGTGACGTTCTCTGCCCCATGGTCCAGTACGATGGTGATTTGGACATCGAGCTTGGCGAGGATGACCTGAACATTGATTCGGCGCTCCTGCTTGAGAAGATATCGAACGCGTAGGCAGCGTCTGAATCGATTTCTCATCATACATCTTCGAGTTTACTTGACCGGTTCACGTCTTTCATCCTTTTATCAGGCCACACCTTCGGAAGCGGCCCTCTCTGTGAGCTCCGTCCCACTACCCAGCTTGTGCTTCGGGCCAACCACTCATTCAGGTGCTAACCTCGCAAGCATCCAGTGGTTGTGGTCGATCGGAGTGTGCGCCGATTCCACTGATTGCGTTTTCTTCACGCGTTTTTGATTTGCCGGCGCCCAACTTCAAGTGGGTCCTCAGGCCTCGCGTGTTTGTGCGTTGATTTTTTTGGACCATGGAATGAGCCTTCTCTCGTCTCAATTGGTGTCATTCCTGCGTCATTGACGATTTGATTCGATTTGTTTGACATGCAATTCAAAGCGTTCGCCTTGTGGCTCAGCTTCCCACTCCAGCCATGTGGCATACCGTCATTGGGTAGTGCATGCACGTGTCGGGTGCGAATGCACGCTTGCCGGCACCGGTTCTCGCCCACTGCGGACCCCATATCCAATATTCACTGAGGCTCGGCTCTGCGCGGGCGCCATCGCAGAATGCGAACTCCAAGAGGCTCCTGCGGGCAGGCACACTGCGGGGGCAAGAGGGACGGGGAGGAAGGATCGGGGGCCCCCGAAGGGTGCGGTGACCACACCGCGTGGTGAGTCCGTGGGGACTCGGGATTGAGCGCACGTTCTTGGGACTCGGCTCGTTCGCCGAGGACGTCTCGGGCGACTGCGTGGCCCCGAGGGCCCAAGACCTCTCGGCGACGGACCGCGGGGCGGGGCCCATCGGGGCCCATCGGGGCACCGCACGGGCTGCCACCGCACCGAGCTGGGACACCCGGGGAGGGGGCCCGGAGGGGCGCAGGCACGAGCGGCAGCGGCAGGAGCAGGAGCGGAAGACCGCTGGGGCCCCTGGCCTCTGGTGCGCCGGGGTGCCGTTGCTCTGGCCGCTGCCGCTGCTCCTGCTCGAGTTCCTGCGCCGGGGGGGTTCGTCGGAGGAGCAAGGGGTCATGATGATTTGATACGTTCCAGGGTTTCCAGGAGTTCTCGGCTGCGCCGCTGGAACACTCTGGACATCTTGGGGCGTCTCCTGAGCCAATCTGATTTCCCCACTTCCTCCCATCCTCATGTTCGTCGAACTCCTCCTGAGCTTCCACTTCGAGCCCCTAGACGACAAGCGCCAGTACTAAAGCGCGTATCACACGCCAGAACTTGCTTCTGCTAGGCAAGCGCTATCAGAAGCCCCCTTAGCACGGTCAGAGCCCCCTGGACCCCTCCCCGTTCATCCCCGTTCTCCCCAGCCGAAGCCCTCGGTGCCCATGCTGTGGAGCGCAGGAACCGTGCGGCCCGAGCCGAACCCGAAATGGATCCGTCTGAGTTTGAATCCCCGGCTTGAGGGGGGTCCGTGTTATACGCGGCCAGTTGTCGTGGGATGTTTGTTTGCAGCGGGAGTTCGCGCCAAGTTTCAGATTGGGTCTCGTCCTTCTCCTGACGGCCCCGTCAGGTCAACCCGAGTCCTCCGAGCCCGAGATGCACGTCTCCCCGAGATGGGGTTCGAGAATTCCTGGGCCCTCGCCGTGATGGGATCGCGGCGTATTGTGTTGAGCTGCATCCTGAGGTGTTACGGGCCCTGCGCCCAGCCACCACTGCTGGGGGCCCAGTGGCTGCGTACGTTGTGCAGCGTTGCCAGCTTGCGGCAGTCACGCGCCTGTGTTGCCGGGCATGCTGTGTGACCCCTCTCGGGAGCCCTCGGGCGGAGCCCGTCGAGATTGGTGTGACCCCGTGTCGGCCCCGTGCCCCAACGGGGCTATGTGGCCCCGTGTTGGCCATGACCGCCGCTCCAACACAGAGCCCCTGTGACGCGAACAGGATGGACGGAGCCAAGGGCTGCCACCCCGCGTCCTGGGGGCGATAGAGAGGTCTGTGTCTTGCAGTGTGCCGTTCATCCACGCCCGATTCTACCTGGAAGCCAGTCCAGGCCCCTGAGTTGAATGGTTCCCTGCTGCAGTTGCTCCCATCCTGCATTCGACGTCCTGGGAGCTTTGATGCGTGGGGCCTGTCGTGCGGGACGAGGACGGGGATACCTCTCAGGGATCCCCGATTTGTCCTCACCCGATTTGCTCCTCGTCCTGGCAGCGTCTTCGCTTGGGAGCTCTCGGCCCCACCTGCCGCCTCGGCCGTCGTGCCCTGGGCTCTTCTCCGCGGGCCTGGGCGCCCAGCGCGGGCCTCCGGAGGTCCACGGCGCTGAGAAGCTGGGCTTCCCAGGTGGGGTCCGAATAGTCGGCGGCGAGCGAGGTGGGGAGTGAGGAGGAGGAGGCCCTCTCGGGAGGCCGCGGGACTTCTCAGAAGCCCTGGCGCCTTATCAGAAGTTCTCCGTGTCTTCGGGGAAGACTTTTTAGACAACTTCGCAGAAGGCCGGGGGACTTCCGAGCTTTCCGAGAAGGCTTTCTTCTTCTGATTTCCCTCCCAGGCTCCTTCCCGAGGGTGATCCTGCATCCTTGCCTCCTCGGTCCATCCTTGACCCCCTTCGGCGGCCAGCCCCGCTTAAAAACACTGCAGCACGGGCGTCCCAGGCCCTTTTGCATCCTTCTCCATCAGCTTTGCCCGTGGATGGGGCCAGGGGGGTCGCGCCGCATCGCCAACGCATCGGCGATGCAGCTCGATGTGGAGTCCGATCCTCTCCGCGCCAGCGTCGCCGACGCATCGCCGACGTCGCTGATGCATCGGCGATTACATCGGCGATGCGGCGCGATGCTTCGACCCCTATCAACTCGGACCCCATCTTGGGGGCCTCTAGAAAGCCCGGACGTCTCGAGTTCTGCTCCGTCCTCGGCGCCAGAGGTTTGGGTAGTTCGACGCACCTCGTCAGTTGGGGAGGCGCGGAGCAAAAACGGGTGGGGCGAGGGTGTGGTCCTTCTGAGAAGGCCCCGCGCCTCTGGGACGCCCTCCTGCCTTCCGAGATCTGCTTTGGGCCGAGGAAACATTCTGAGGCCAAACAGAGATTCCGATTCGGTCAAAAGCTGTTGTTCGGTCCCTACCTTTTTTTGGAGAAGTCCACCCGAAACCGTCCCCTGGAGGGGTCCGTCCTGGCCTCTTTTTCCGAGTTGCCTCCCGCCGTGGCCACGAGGGGCCTCGCAGGGGGACCGCAGAAAGGGTAACGAGCACAACGAGAGAGAGAGTCCCGCCTCCTTCGCTCGCCGCGTGCCGCCAGCGCCCGACGCCACTCGCCGACTGCTTCCCCCTCCCCTCCTCGCTGCGGGTCGCCCGGCCAGGGTCCGCAGCCTCCACGCGCGGCTCCGTCGCGACGCCGCCCTGGGCGGCTCGCCGTGGGCCCGCTGCATGCTGCGGGTCGGCGTGCCGACAGGCGACGCGACGCTGGGGGGGGAGCAGGAGGACGAGGGCGAGGTCAGGGTTCGTCGAATAACAAACAGGGCAGCAGCATCAATTTTCGGGGAGCTCTGATCGTCAACTTTCGGAGCTCTTAGTGGGTGGAGCGCGCCAGGAGGTTGGGGTCCAGCGCCGTTCCAAGGCATCCGCGAGGAGATCCGATGGTTTATGTTCATGGAATGTGTGTTTTCTTCTAGAGGGGAGGCGGAGGACGAGGACGAGGTCAGGTATAGGACTCCATCTGTCATGTGCCTGACTGGTGCCCACCCGTCCTGCCCTGACCGTGAAGCCTCGAACCCTCCCACCCCGCTCCAAACTCGGAAGGCGGGGTGCCAGTTCAACGCTTGAGTGCGCGGATTTTAAAGAACCCCCCCCAAGATGTCCCAAACAAGTCTTAGAACTTCATCAGGGCATCAAGACTAGCCAAGGACGTGGTCGAGGAGAAGGGAAACGGAGTCGAGGTGAGGATCGCAGCAGGAGGACGAGAGGCCAGGACGAGGACGAGAAGGAGGAAGAGGATGATGATGATGCTGATGATGATGATGATGATGATGATGATGATGATGATGATGATGATGAGGAGGAGGAGGAGGAGGAGGAGGAGGAGGAGGAGGAGGAGGAGGAAGTGAGGTCAGGGTTAAGAGGCAGACGTCTGAGAAGGAAGGGAGCCTGCTGGGAGGGCGCGGACTTTGGGAAACAGTATTCTACACGTGTGCCCCGTAGTCCCCATGAGGTCCCGAAAAGCCCCGCAAGATTGCCGAGCATGGCCCTCAAGAGCGCTCGAATACTGCCTACAGCGGGTTCCAAGAGATTAGCCACAAGAGGGCCCCGAGACATCATAGGAATGCCCCAAGATGCCTCGAGGGCCACCCAAGAGGGCCCTAACAGGGCCATAATGTTCCCCTAGTAGACGATCAGGGGGCCACACGAGGCCAAAGAGTTCGTCCACCACACCCCTGCAACAGAAGCAGCAGCGAACAGCAGAGGCAGCAATGGCTGCGGCACATAGCAGCAGGAGCTCAGATACTTCGCGGACCTGCGTACACAGCAGCGCGTACCGTCGTGCTTGGTATAGGCCTGTTCAGTCGAAGGATGGGATCTCATCACCATGGTCGGACGTGGTCTGGAACGTGTGGAGGGTGGTGTTTGGGAGAGCTCCGCTCGTTGATGGCCAAGGCGCGCGCGGATTCCAGGATGGGTGCAAAGCTTTGTGGCTCAAGGCCGCGCGGGCAATCGCCCGCGGTCCCGCGTGTCGCGCGCTCCGCTGCCGCCTTCGCCCGGGGCCCGTCCGGCGTTCGCGCAGGCCCTGGTGGTTTCCTCGTGCGGTGATGGCGGCGCAGGCTGCGTGGGCCCAGCAGCAGGCGCAGCAGTGGGTGACCGCTCAGGCTGCTGGCGCCGCCAACTCCGGGGGTACCGCTGGCGCGGCGTCGACCGCGCAGGCCGCGCAGTGGCAGCAGCAGCAGCAGCTGCAGCAGCAGGCCCAGTTGGCCCAGCTGCAGCAGATGCAGGCGGCGGGAGCTGGCGGCCAGCCGCAGCAGCAGTCGCAGCAGCTTCTACTGCAGCAGCAGCTGCAGCAGCAGCAACAGCAGCAGTACCAGCAGCAGCAGCTCCAGCAGCAGCAGCAGCTGCAGCAGGTCCAGCAGCAGCAGGCCCAGCAGCAGCAACAGCTGCAGCAGCAGCAACAGCTGGCGCAGCAGCGGCAGCAGCTTCTGCAACAGATGCAGCAGCAGCAACAGCAGCAGGTCCAGCAGCAGCAGCTGGCGATGCGCGGCGGCCCAGCGGCCCAGCAGCCGCTGGTGATGCAGCAGAAAGGCGGCATGAGGGTGGCCCCGCCTGCCGGCCGGATGGTGGCGCCAGGCCAGGTCCCTGGCATGGTGGCGCCGGGCCAGGGTCCTGTGGGTGGGCCGGCCTCGTACTCCGTGTATTCGAATGGCGCAGACACCGAGGAGGTCGTCATACGCACGCTGACGGGCACCTACATACGGAGTGGCGAGAACCACCAGCGCCCCGTGTACAAGAAGGTGCAGGAAAAGCCTGGGCCTGACTTCGTGGAGGTCTTCATGTATTATTGGGACTCTCGGGACGGCCCGAGCTTCGAGGGGTGGTGGTTCGGCAACAAGCTTGGCGGGACGCAAGTCTGGTCCCACAACGCAAGCCAGGCTATGGTGCCCCCGGGCGAGGGCTGGAAGATCCCTTGGGATGGGGCCGTGCGGACGACACTCGTCGTAATATCCAAGGAGTTGCAGGCCAAGCAGGAGGCAGAGGGGAAGTTGCAGGAGTCGAATAATAAACAAAAACATATCAGTAAACTTTTGGAGCTCCGCGCGGATTTCCAAAAGTGTATGTAAATGCCGTTGATTGTTCTTTTCGTTTCAGGAGGCCACGGCCGAGGTGACGTCCGCCCAGACCGCCGCTAAGAACGCGCTCGAGGAGGCGTCAGCAAGCGCCGGGGATTTCAGTTCGACGGAGGGCTGTACGAAAGCCGAGCAGATTCTGGTACCCCAGCAGCCCCTGCTGCAGGCCGCGATGAAGAGGCTGGTAGAAATGCAGCGCACCGTCCAAGGCGACTCCGCGCGCAACCTGATTTTGGTCAGGAATCAGCTGCAGGCGACGATGACCTCAGTGGCCGCCGAGCTGAACAAGATCAGGCAGGGCCGCCAGAGGGCTCAGATCGAGGAGAGGACCAAGGAGATGGTGGCGCGCGAGAGGAAGGTGTTCGAGGACATGAAACCAGAGGCGCTCGAGAAGTGCAACGCCGCGGAGGACGCCGTCGAGAAGGCATCCATCACCTCGGAGATGATCCAGGCCGCCGGCGACAGCCCCGAGGAGGTCGCGAAGGCCGTGGACGAGACCGAGGCAAAGGCCAGGGAAGCGCAGGCGGCCATCGGCGCGGCCCGCCTCTACCTGAACTCGAAGCAGTCGCTCCTGCAGAGACTGCAGCACGTGCAGGTGCGCGACGAGTCGTTGAAGGACCCACGGAAGCCATCCGTGTGTCGAGGAACAAACAATGACAGAACTATTAACTGTCGGGGGTGCGCACGGATTTCTCGGATCTGCGCTGGAGCCCCCTGGCGGTGTTTCCGGCGCCGCCCCTGCCGCGCTCCGCACGCCAGGGAGATGGGTCCAGCGCCGATCCAAGACAATTCTCGTCAGCGTGGACCTTCGAAAGGATCTGTTCATGTTGCTGTTTGGTCCTCGAGCAACTGCGGCAGGCTCGTGTCGAGCCGGCTCGGCGACGGCCCCGCAGCGGGCACTCAGTGCTGGGACACCGCCAGTGGCCCAGAATCGCACGATACGAATGGAACGGTCCAGCGATCGAAAGGCCGCCGATCGTTCAACGCGTCAACGGTCCACGCGGTGTCAGAGACCAGCCCGGAGGCCGTCGGGGCGCGAGCTTGCCGTGGATCACCACCGTTCCTTGCAGGGCCATCCTGGGCCTCCGAGTCAAGGCCATCATGGCTTCGGCTGGGGAGGCGTGAGAACACCATGCTAGGTCTCAGGCCTAGCCAGGCACAGTGGTGGTGGTGGTGGTGGTGATGTGCAAGAGCCCTCGAGAAAAACTGCATAAGCATAAGCGTTTGGAGGTCCGCGCGGACCTCCGAAAGTTTGTGCTTCTGCGGATGTTCTTTCACCCTCGCGCAAAGGAGTTCGCGCGGATGAATATGCAGCTCACAACCGCACAGAACAAGCTCAACCCGTTGAAGACGGCGAGGCAGGACTTCCTGCAGCGGCAGCAGGCGAAGCAGGCCGTCACCGAGATCATGGAGGCACTGTCTCCAGCGGAGCTCGAGGTGGATGCCGCGGAGGAGGCGAACAAGGTGCTGGAGGAGAACTCGTCCAAAGAGACTCTGGCGCTGGCCCAGCAGGCGCTGCGGAAGGCAAACGACCACTTGGCCATGGCGCGGCGGATGGTGTTGAAGAAGAAGGTTGCGGCTGGTCCGATAACGCTGGCCGAGATCGCCAAGCTCGAGGAAAGATTGAAGAAGGGGGACGAGCGCCTCGCGGTCCTGCGGGACGCCCAGAAGGAGCTCGCCGAGCGCAGCGCCTGTGAGGGCCTCATCAAGGAGGCCACGGACAAGCTCGCCACGGTCACGGAGGCGGTCTCGAAAGCGGCGGACGCAGAGGCACCGTTCTTGATGGGCGTGGAGGAGTTGCCGACTGACGAGACGCTCGCGGCCGTAAAGGCCTGCGAAGCCGCCGCCACCTCTGCCAACACCGCGGTGTCCATCGCGCGCATGTTCATCGCCACGAAGCTGGTCGAGGCCAAGCGTTTCGCTGCGGGTGCGGCCAAGGAGGCCACCGAGAAGCTGCAGGAGCTCCAGAGGCAGCTGCAGGAGCAGACGGACAAGCTGACCAAGGTCAAGACCGCCATGGCCAGCCGCAGGCAGGCCGCACTGTCCCGCGAGGCCGAGAGCCAGGTGAAGGGCGCGGAGGAGCTGGCGGGCAGGATGAAGGAGGCGGCCGCCGCCCTCGAGGACATCGACAAGCTGGCCGAGATGACGCCCGAGGAGGTCAAGGCGGCCGGGGGCCAACTATCAGTCAAGACGTGGCGATTAGCACGGTGGGGGCATTGGGTAAGGAACGTGCCCAGGAGGCTTCAGACCCTGGAGGATTCCTCATCCGAGGAGGGCGTTGGCGATACCCCTGGCCGACACACACAGTTGGAGTTCCACTGGCTTCCAGGCCCCGGATTCCTGATCAGAGGGTTCCCTCTTCCGGGGCCACGAGTGGCTCGCCCCTGGGTGTCCAGCCTGCGCCAAGCACGTTTGCATTTGGCAAGGGCGCCCGAGCGCCCGCGAAGAGTTTCTTTTTAGTAAATGCCTCCGCCGTGTTGAGGATCTCTTCGGGCTCGGGAGGGGCCCTTCGGACCCTGCGGGCCGCTCCTTCGGCCTGGGCCGGGGCAGCCTCTCCGTGGCCGAGGCCCGGCGTGCCCAGGAGCGCCCCGAGTTCGCTCCTCGTCCGGTGCTCCTCCCTACGGTTAAGTCGGGCCTTTCGCTCTCTACTCTACAGGGGGAATATTCGAAAATAGTCAAAAATAGTCTGGGGACTATTTTTTAACCATTTCTGCGCATTTTCAGGGCATGTTTTGGGTATGTTTAATTTTTCGCTCAAAGTCGGCCTGTAGGGTGACAGGCCCGACTTAACCCTACGGTGGGCACGATCGCTGCCGCGGCGACGGCCGAGGCATCGGCCAGGGTCCACCGTCCTAGCCTCAGAAATGGCGATCACGCCCCTGCGATGTCTGCGCGCCCTTCAGTGTCGGTGGACGCCCCTCCAATGTCGGGGCCGGGGCAAAAAGGGTCTGAGCGGGAACGACTCGGAAGTTCGATGATGACCGGCATTGGAGGGGCGGCGCATACAAGTATCTCGCAGTCATCGCTACTCTGTCCAGCATCTCCCCACAGACAGTTCAGCCACGTACGACATGTTTGAGGTTAATTTTGACGAGGGGTGATGCTGTGGTCGGCTGTGGGGGGAACGCGCAGGTTTCCCCAGGCGCGGGGGCCCAAAATGCGCGCAGGGACTGGAGTGCTCGACGCCAGCGCTGCTCGCAGGAGCAAGGGCGGGGGACGCGAGATGTTCGGGCCCCCTCTCCAGGGCCTCGGGTCGGGCCGAGTTTGGCGTGTTCCCCGAACGCCGATCAAGGCAACCCGAATCTACTACAACACGGCCAGAGTTCTATCTTACCTCCCCCAACGCGCTTAGCCTTAGCCTTAGCCTTAGCCTGCTCCTTTTCCCCCTCCCGTGTCCTAATCGCGAGGGGCCGCATGTCAGTTCACGTCGTGCACAGGATCTCTTTGTGAGCCGCCCCTGGTTGACGCAGTCGACGTCGAAGATGCGCTGCGCAAACTCATGGAGAGCATGGAGAGGCTACCATGCTGCGTCCAGGACTTCGAGGTCGTGAACGCAGATGGCGCCCGATCACTGTCGGTCCCTAGCCCACTGCCGACAGACATGTCGAGGAAGGTGCCCTTGGCCGCCTTCGCGATAGTCTGCCATTGGTGCCCACTTCGTGCGGCCGTCGCCAACGCAGCTGCCAACTCCAGCGAACCCATTTTGGTTGAAATCGGGGAACATAACATACATACCTATAACAACTCTGAGGTCCGCGCGGATTTCTCGGATAGGCGCTGGGCTCCCCTCCCTGACGCGCAGAGCGCCACGCGCGAAGTGACCGTACGTGCCTTTCTGTTGCCCTTTCATGCCCTTCCTGCGAACCTGCCATAGGAGCCGGGGTCGTCCTCAGCGTCGTGCGGCCCCGTCCCAGGAGCCCCCCCCGTCCCAGGAGCCCCGTGACGTCGCCCTGCGAGCTCTCGTCATTCTTCGCCTCGACACCCGTCGGAGCCTTCCAGGAACTCCTTCAGGCCCCCCCTTCGAGCCCTTTCCGCCGTGCTTATCCCCTCGACGCCCGTCCAGAAACCGTGCTGGTCGACCTTCCTGCCCGATTTGGCGCCCTCGAGCCTGTCTGGGAGCCCGTTCGGGTTGCCCTCCGAGCCCTTCTCTGCCCTTGCTCTCGAGGTGTGCCTGAGCATCTTCCACGTCCGCCCGGGGGGGGGTGGGGTGGGGGGGGGGCACGCGATGGCGTCGGCGCTCTTTGCACCAGGGCGGGCCCCCACGTCCCCGATGCGGGAGGACCCCGTGCCGTCGCACGCCGTGTGCCGACGATGCCGCCCGCCCCCGCCCACGAGAGCAGGACGACGGACAGTCTTGATCGCCCGCAACAGGGCGAAGGAGGCAGACGACGCCCCCCGCGGAGTGTGCTCCCGAGCTGTCGAGGCGTCACCGGTCGGACCCATTCAGGAGACCCTTCAGGTTGCCCTTGGATCACCGAGCGCGCTCCACTAGTCGCACAGTGCCGACGCGCAAAACGTCAGAAAACACACACGTGTTTACCTCGATAGTTGGGATCGTAAATCTCCCATCGACGGATCCAGGGGCCATCTGCGGGCGGTTACTTTGCGAGTAGTGGAACGCGCTTTTCTGTTGGAGCCTTCGCCGTCCGCGTCCTTAGAGAGCGCGGGCGCCCCACGCGGTCGTCCCATCCCCTCTTCGCCCCTTGCCCGTCACCTCCTGGGGGCCTTCGCTGCGCGGCTCCGCGGGGGCACCCTGACGCCCTCCCTGCACCGGGAGCAGCCTCGAGGGCCCTCGTCTCCCCGTTCATCACCGCCTCGGGTGCGCCCTCGGCGCCGCCGAGCCTGTCCGAGCCGTCGAGCGTGCTGCTGGAGTCGCTGGAGCGCAACCCCACCCGCTCCCCGTCGTGCTTGGCCTCGTTCCCCACCGTGTTGAGCATCTGCAGCACACCGGTGGCGACCGCCTCTAGCGCGGGCACGGCTGGCCCGTCAGGGCCCCCTGCCGCCAGCACCTGGCTTGGTCGCAGCTCAACGCCGCGCGCTGCGCGGGCAGCTGACCTCCGACGAGGCTCACCCGCTGGTCAAGGAAGGGCATCGCAGCCTCGGCCGTGTTGATGTACCTTGTCCCATTCGCGAGCACGGCGACACGCGCGCGATCGTGTGCCATGGCGGCAACAAAGCGTGAAATACACGCATGCACGAAATTGCAAACGACAGGAGTCATGGAGGCCAAAGACACGGTCTTGAGCCAAAACGGCTGAAGACTCCTCACATTCTTCTCCCTTCCCCTTTCCCCCTCCTCCCCCCCTATCGACCCCACCTGCATGCAGAATGTTTCAAGCTGGTTCAATCCGTGAGGGTCGAAACGGGGTGAAGCATTGCCGTCGTGATGTTCTCACGACGCTTAGACGTCAGGGAGAGGGGAGAGTCGCCATAATGACACATCGCTGGATCTCGTGAGGCGCACACCGACGAGGCCAAGAAGGCGGAGCTCGCAGCGAACCCGGCGCTGGCGGAGGCGAGGCGGTTCATCACCCAGAGGCAGATCGAGGCGAAGGGCAGGAGGAGGGCGGGAGGAGGGGCAGGAGGAGGGAGAGGGAGATGGGGTGGAGGTGGACGGGGAGGAGCATGAGGCGGATCGGGGAGAAGGAGGAGGAGGAAGAGCTGGAGGAGGAGGACGTCGACGGCAACCGCAATGACCAGGAGGAGGAGGAGGGGGGGAACGCGCGGAACAATGGAGCAGAAGCTCTGCCTTTCCTGAAGCTGCTCAACACAGGAAAGGGAAAGGCAGCACGCGCCTGCTGCAGCTGTTCACCTGGCCGTGCGGGCGGGGAGCGCTCGGGCCGCAGAGCGCGCACGACAACGCGCATGTTCGCTCGCCCGCCGCTGGCCGCGGAGTCCCGCCTGTGCACCAGGCGCTGCGCCACTGCCGCGGGATGGCGAACTGCCACGGCCGTGTCCGCGCCGTGCTCCTGCCCCCTGGGGCGCCGCAGGATCCTTCCGTCCCCCCACGCCGTAACGTCGCGACCGAAAACACACACAGGTCGTACGCTCTTGCTGGCTCTCTGGGCACGCAGGCCCGTTCCCAGGTTGGCCTCAGGGCCTCGCAGTCAGAGTGGGCCTGGGAACGGCTGAGTGGGCGGAGGAGGAGGGAGAAGGGCGCAAGGCGAAGGAGGGGAGGGGGAGGACGAGGAGAGGAAAACGCAGGCGAAGGGCAAAGAGCACTCCGAGGAAATCCGGGACCTCTTCATCAAGCTCCAGACCAGGTTGAGCGCCGCGCAGAACGAGGTTGTGACCGCCAGGTTGCCTCCTCATCGTCCTTCTCCTGCCTGCGACGCCCTCGTCTCCTACTCTGATCTGGCCCTGGTCATCCTCACATCCCTCCCCCGCCTGACACTGACACTCACTTTGCACGTCCTCACCCCTGCTGCGCCTCCCGTATTTCGACCTCCACCCCTGCCTGCAGCTATCGCGAGACCCTCGTCGGGCCTCGCTGGGGCCCCGCGGTGCCGTACTGATGCCGAGGATGGGAAAGGACGGGGGAAGAGGAGAAGCACGAGGAGGATGGAGTGTGGGAGAGGAGCAAGTGGAGCGAGAGAGGTTGATGAGGGAGGCGAGGAGGAGGAGGAGGACGATGATCAGGATGAGAGAAGAGAACAGGAGGAGGAGGAGCAGGAGGAGGAGGAGGAGGAGGAGGAGGGTTAGGGTAAGGAGGACCAGTGCAAACCAACGACGCACAAATGCTGCAATAAACTCTCCCTCCATGTTCTCCGTTTGCGGGCGTTTACACGGTTTTTCACTGCGGGGAGTTCTCCTCTGGAAGGCATTTCGCCACAAGCCTCAATCGTACGAAACACCAGCCTAGGGACGTCAGCGCCGCGAGTCAATTTGATTCTTGTGAACGTTCCTCCTGGGAGTGCAGCGAAACAGTGTGACTGGTGCGTCCTGACAATCCGACATCGCGGCCGGACGCGATTTTCGGGAATTCAAGTTTACGAATAGTTCACGATTACCTATTAAAAAAGAGCCACACTCCATCGATGATATCACCGCGAACTTGAGAACGGGTTCTCGCGGCGGTAAGGCAAGAACAGCATGTTGAAATTTGCCCGACTTTCTCCCACCCATGAAAGTGCTGGGGACACTTAGGGCAGATGTGCGCGGCGCTGAGGCGACAGCCACAGTTTGAACATGCCCCCCTCCAGCCATGAAACTGTTGCACTTGTTGTTAAAGTCGAACTGGTGCGGCGGGAAGGCAAACACTAAGTTTGATAACGGCCCGCCCCGTACCCATCAAAGTGTTACAAATCTCAAGGTCATAAAAAAGGGTGAGGAAGTATAAAGGGGAAGCGCCCATCCTGACACGTCTAGATGTGCGACCGGGAGAGGTTAGGTATGTAGATAGGGGAAGGAGGAGGGCGTGAGAGAGAGAGAGAGAGCGGGAGAGTGAGAGAGAGAGAAAGTTAGAGTGCGAAAGTATGAGTCTGATAGGGGGAGAAGAAGGGAGATATGGATGAGACATGAGGAGAACGAGGAGCAGGAGGAGGGAGGAACAATAGCAGACGGAGGAGGAGGAGGCGTTCCTTGTGGGCTCACTATCATCCTGTCTGTCCTCCCTCCCCTCCTGCCTGCTCATCACCGTCCTGCTTGCTCCTTGTCCTGCCCGTCGTGCCCCCTTTGTTTTATTTACGTTGATCGGACTTAAGCTGGGCAGCTGTAGCGTTCTTGAAGTAATGTAGCCCCGACTCGGCGCACAAGTACCTGGCGGGCGCCGCGGAAGATGATTTAAAACAGGAGGCGACGAGAAGAGGAAATAGAGTAGGCACCCGCCAGGTACCAGATGGCTGCACGAATCGTAGTATGACTGGCCCCCATAGGATATGTAAGTAAGTCCCAGTAGATTCAGTGGTACGTGCTCCCTCTGAATTGCACAGAAACAGAAACATGCAGTGCAGCGAAAGCAATCCTTGGGCTGCTACCCTCTGTGAGCAGAAGTGGCCCTCGCCTCCTAGACCTTCCCAGCCCACCCCAGTACAAGAATGACAGTGCAGCGTTGCAATTCTTAGGCTGCTACCCTCGCGCGCCAAGATGAAATAGTACAGTGAAGGTCAGAAAGTACGATGCAGCTTTCAATCCTTTGGCTTCTACACCTGTGAGCACGAGCAGATGGCTGCTCTACGTTAGGCGGGCACGTGATGTAACGGCTGGCCCGTAGCTGCAATCTTTGGGCTGCTACCATGGAGGGGGAGGGGACAAGAGGAGAAACGTGTAAAACAGATGGGGGAGGATCCGAGCGAGGAGGTAAGATGCTGGTGCTGGTCAAGCCTGCAAGTACGCTCGGTGGTGAGCTGGCGTGGAAAGGTCCCCCAACTCCCCCTCTCAATGGATCCCTCTCCGGCCTTCCCCAAGTACAAGACAGGCAGTGCAGTGTTGCTCGAACTAGGCTACCCTTGAAGTAGAGAAAAAAGTGTTGCTGTGCTGGAGCAGACAACGATAGAATGTTACCGAAGCTGGTCGGTGCTCTAGTCCACCACCCCGTCTCTCCTCTTCGTCCTCCGCCTCCTCGTTCTCCGCCCAGGAAGCTGGCCCAGAGCGTAGAGCAGCGCCTCGCTGCCAAGAAGGTAGCCGCGGACGCCCGCCAGACGCTGCAGGAGGCTCTGGCCAAAGTGGACTCAGCCGTGCAGGCGGCGGAGGCTCTCGACGCCGACGACGCCGAGAAGGCAACCGTCGACGACGACGACGACGACGATGACGAGGACGACAAAGAAGACAGACGACGACGACGACGACGACCACCACCACCACCACCACGACGACGACCACGACCACGACGACGACCACGACCACGATGAGGACGTCGTTCGGACCTCGACGCTCACGACGCCGAGAAGATTCTCGACAGTCCCGCTTCGGGTAAAAGGGGCCGTCGCGCAAAAGTCCGCCGCAAGATCATGTTTGATGATATTGATGATGCTGCTGCTGGTGATGATGATAACGATGACGAGGATGAGGATGAGGATGATGATGAGCAGGATAATGCTGCTGCTGATTGTGAAGACGATGACGATGATGCTGCTGATGCTGGTGATGAATATGATGAGTATGATGATGCTGATGATGCTGATGATTATGATGATGCTTATGCTGATGACGATGACGGTGATGATGCTGATGATGCTGATGATGATGCTGATGATCATGCTGATCATGATGATCATGATGATGATGTTGATGATGATGCTGATGCTGATGCTGATGCTGCTGATGATGGTAATGGTGGTGATGATGATGATGGTGATCATCATGATGATGATGATGATGATGATGATGATGATGATGATGATGATGATGATGATAATGATGATGCTGATGATGATGATGATAACGACGACGACGACGATGATGATGATGATGATGATGATGATGATGATGATGATGATGATGATGCTGATGATGATGATGCTGATGATGATGATGATGATGATGATGATGATGATGATGATGATGATGATGATGATGTTTTGGAGGAGGAGGAGGAGGAGGAGGAGGAGGAGGAGGAGGAGGTGGAGGGAGAAGGAGGAGGGGGAGGGCGAGGAGAAGCAGGATTGGAGGAGGGAGGAGAAGCAGGATAAGGAGGATGGGGAAGGAGTGGTAGCAGGAGTATGCGGAGCAGGAGGAGGCAGGGAGGAGGGAGAGGGGAAGCAACAACGTAGCAGCAAGAGGAGGAGGAGGAGGAGGAGGAGGAGGAGGAGGCAGAGGAGCGGAAGGCCGAGAAGCCCGAAGAGGGCGGCGAGGGGTCGGAGAAGCCCGAGGGCGGCGAGGATGCAGAGAAGCCCAAGGGGTCCGGGGTCGACTTGGTGAAGGCCGCAGAGACGGCGCTGAGCGAGGGGCAGACCGCCCTGAAGGTCCTCCCTCCCTCCTGCTTACTTCTGCTTTGTCTCTCTTTCTCTCTTGTCCCCCATCCTTCCCCCCTCATCCCTCCCCCCATCCGGCTCCCTCCACTTTTACGCGCTCCTCATCCTACACCTCTCCCTATCCTGAAGGCGTTCGGCAGGTGGCTGGACGGGCAGGGGCGCACCAAGGCCCTGCCGCAGGAGGAGATTGCCAAGCTGGACCCGCAGGTCAAGGAGGCCCAGGCAAAGCTCGACGACGCCGGCCTGAAGATCCAGGAGCGGCGGGAGCAGGTCATCGTCAAGTCCATCGTCTCGGAGTGCGAGCAGCGCGTGAGCGAGGCTGAGGGCCTCGTCGGCAAGGTCATTGAGGCCGAGGCCCCGCTGCTAGCCGGGGACGAGCTCCCCCTGGAGGAGGCGGGCAAGG